TAAAGTTTAAGTAAAGGTGACCATACACTTTACAACCCTCGCAAGACTTTTGTAAAGTAATTTAAAAAACGTACAATCTGTCCATCTTGGATAGGCAGATCGTACTTGCGATCATCGCAAGCTCGCCCCCCTGAGGGGCGGGCTTATGATGACTGCGAACGGGCAGCGTGTGCGTGTGCACACCGACCCGTTCGGCAGTTGTCGAACAAGCAGGCCACTAACTCACCGAGAATCGTACGATTCCCTGCGGGTTTTCCAGCCTGCTTGTTCGACGGAAGACATGCGACCGTACAGTAGAAACTGTCGCACGCCTTCCATACACTTTGCGGTTATCGTACGATCGCGGGATTTCCTGTGATTCTCGTACGATAATCGTGCAGTGTATGGGCACCTTAAGCCAGAGCACTGGTCTCACTGTTCTTGTTTTATCATCACCTCCCCCCTTATTTCCAGCTTAATCAATAGACAGGAAAATATTTAACGTGACATGAATTCTGTTTCATTATATTTTTGTCTTCACGGGTAATAGTCATAGTGCATTTGTTTATCACATCTTCTATTAAGCTATAGGCCTCTATTTAGCATGAAAATACATGTGTGCTTATTCCTAGTTTCACGCTGGGTGTCTTCAGGTGCAATACATTCTTGTATTCATTCATGCCCCCAAATGAAAAGAAGTAGGGAGCAGAGAACTGTGTAATAAAATGATATTTGTGGAATAGCTATCCTTGAATAAGATTGCCATGTTCGACCTGCAAACATATGATCACATTAGAGGACCACATTCAAACAGCTCGCAGAAATTTTAGTTTCTTTTTTTAACTTCTTTTAGGCAACTAAGAACATCACGACAAAGTCTTTGAAGTTAAATCAAGAAAAAAAATCAAAACCTCTTATCCTAATGCCTATATTAGGAACAAAAAGTTGTTAGAGACAAGACAGTAAGTGCATTTAAAGCACAAACAAGTGCCTCCTTACATGTTTATTGATTGCCTTCTGCATGATAAATGTACAGAATTATCATTTACTCTGGCACCATAAAAAAATGTAAATGATAATATTCAGTTTAGTGACTGTTTGCTTTATCCAATGAATTATGCAACTAAAGTAATTGCATTTAAAGCACCAGCAAAGGATTGCACACCTGGTCTTATCAGAATCATGCATTCAATGCTCATAGTACCTGTCATCTTCAACATTGAAAGAACAGTATATCAGTCCATGTAGCCACAGTGCTGTCAATGGGCTGTAATTATCCCAGTACCTCACCCTTTTATTTAGACATCATGCTGACTTAAACACACCTAAAGAATAATCACTTTTTAAGCTCCACCCCTTGTGTCATAATTATATGATTAAAAGCTACTGCTTGAATATGCTTTTGTAGGCATCACAAAAATGGTGTGTAGAGGTAATGAGAGATGGTTTAATGTCTCCTGAGTAAAGATCTTTTGGCTGCTCAAAATCCTCCATGCCTTTTTTCTTAGTTCTTTTGTTGAATTTAGTCGCAATTGTTCACAAAATGTTAACAAAATAAGAAAACCATTATCACAATACGCACATTTTGAGATTTAGATTGAGAATTGGATCACTATTAAGAGTCACAGATGTGCTGATACAGTGTTCTGTGAAATTCATACGGACTTGTATGAATTTATGCACTTAGTGTCTATATTTTCGGACTTTCTGGATATATTGGATACTGGCTACTGAATGCACACTTAAGCTTGTTTAACTTTATAGAGTGATTATATGCATTAACTTTTTATAGTGCGACACAAGTAACTATATTTTGACGTTTGGTATTGCCAATTCAAACTATGCTGCTTCGACATTAGCCCACAAGTGTCATTATGATTTTTACGCTCCTGCCTCATTTTTATTCTCTTGCTCACAGGCAAAGACAGCTGATAAGGCCTGTGACCGCACTGTCAACCTCATTATAATGCAAATGTGCAATCTGCATACTACTTAATTTTTTTGAGAAATGAAAGAGGGACACATTTTAGCACAAAGTATGTAGGCAAAAGACACACCTCAGACACCCCCCAGTTTCGCCCCCCATGAACAGAGGGATTTAGTTCTAAAAGAGAGACTGTCCTTCCAATTGAGGGACAGCTGGGAGGTATCAATCTGCATCTACTTGTTAAATGGATAGGTTTATATATGTCAGCATAGCCAGCATCTTTGTTAAGTGCACAAATCAAATTCTGTGTCATCTATGCATATTACAAGCACATACTATGGGAGTACCTGCACTGTATACACAAAGTTTTAAAGCCCAGTCAGTTAGTTTATCACTTGTTTGTGGAAATCACAACTTATACCAGCCACCATCCAGTATGTGATGGGAAGGGACAAATATGTGAAAGAGGGGACAAAGGGCATGCGTTTATTATAGGGTCTGGGAACTGATGGCTTTGTACCTAAACAACAACAGGGTTCCACATTACCCAGTGCTGTATAATTGGGGAAGCTATAAGAGTGCTTGCTGCTGTAAGGGTCATGTCATGTTGCATATTGTAACTTTTGTAGGTTTTCTAAGACAAAGAAAAAAATGAGAATAGATTGGTCCCCCCACTTAAAATATTACGTGGGAAGTTCTCAACTCCCATAGCTCTCTAAAAAAACAGTGGGGCCCCTATATACTGTTTTGCAGTTCTTGGAGGACTGAAACCAAACCAACCAAACAATATTATGTTTTCCCAAAGGGAATAAGGTATTTTAAGATTATGTGCCATACTGCCATAGAGTATCTTTCTTTTTTATAGGGAGTGTTGCTGAAGAAATCTTTAGTTCCTTACTTGGGACCTGCAGCATAAGGTAGCCATTCTGTGTTAGAACATGGAGAAATCCCAGACAGAGCATTTTTAGTTTTTCTGAAAATCCTCTGTAAGAGCCCATGAACATGTTTGTATTGCATTAACCCACACATTTTTACGCATTGAGGCAGATGCTGTCAAGGCAGCCTATTCCTTCCAGGCAGGTGCATGGAAAAATTCTTGACAACAAAGCACACTTATGATTTTAGCCATGATTTTAAAATTACATTGTTCTTCTCTGCAACTCTGGCAGTTGTAGACAGCAGTGTCTTAAAGGGTCTGATGTATAACATAAAGATAGGATGACTGACAATTTCACCTAGTCAAAATGGGGGGCAATGAGGGGCAACATAATTCAACAGGATCCCAATATTCAATAATTAAAGGAAGTACCAAATGCTGCTGGAACAAATCCAAGGTGTGCTGCTCCAATTAGCCGATCAAGGCTGAACTCCAGTGTAACATGCAACAAAAAGAAGAGAAAGGAGCGCCCAACCACCTAGTGCATAATCGTAGGAGAAACAATGTATATACAATAACAATGTTGCACTTGCAAACCCACAAGCGAAAGCTGGCAGGGTAAATACTGGTTTGGAGACTCCTAAGGCCTGGTTCACACCTGGGCATTTTACAGCGCGTTCCTACGCTCTGTAAAACGCTCAACATGTGAAAAACAATGATTGCCTATGTGCATGGTTCCCGCCTGGGCGTTTTACAGCACGTAGGAACTCGCGGCATAATGCCCTACACCCAAAGAAGTACAGGAGATTCTTTGGGGCGTATTTGCCGCGCATATCCATTGGGATACAGCCAGGTGGCCCTCGGAAACGCGCGCTTGTCGCACGTTTTTTTACCAGCGCGACAAACGTGCATATTTGATACGCCTAGGTGTGAACCCAGGCTTAACTCAGATATTATCAATGGACTGGGAAGACTTCATAACATTTACATCTCTGAAGGGAGATAAAGGAAAGCACATACCAGCATGTGTGCGTACCATAAAACCTTTAATGAATATAAAAAATATTAACATGCACTCACAGCCAGAACCGTAAAGCAAGAGCTTCTCAGAGTGAGGAGTCCTTTGTGGCACTGGTATAGACCGCTGTCAATGGATACTGTTGCTGGACAAAGGTTAACAGTCCAAGTCACGCTCCTTTTGATGTATCCCAGGGAAGCAGAAGTGCTGCTGAAAGATGAAGATGAGCACTTGCGGGTTTGTAAGTGCAACATTATTATTTGTATATACAGTACATTGTTTCTCCCACAATAATGCACTGGTGTGGTTGTGCACTCTTTTCTCTTCTTGTTGCCAATGTATAAGAGATAACAGACATCACTATCCACTCTACAATTTAGGTAATTGGGGTAGTGGGATGGGGGAGGTGGGGTGGCGATGTCACCATGTTTCATGTTACACCCTGAATATACTGTAGGTGTGACATAAAACATGATGTAACAAGTAAACATAGACTTTAATAAATATGCAAAACTCTTTTTTTTTATAGCTGTGGTATGGCCATACTGCTGCTTTTTAAATTAACCCCTAAGACTTTCATTATAATAGGTGATATACATGCAAAGTAGTTTGTATGTATAAAGGAATGACAAGGGAATGCAATGTTTCTTATTACTGCACTTTTATATGGAACCTCTAACTTAGCACCAATTTTCCCCATATGCACTTGTAATCTATAACAAAGTATCTACAGAACAAAAGAAGGTACACATCTGAAATAAAGCTGGGGAGGGGGCTATATGATAGACCTATCATTCCTCATTCTGCCCATCTTTAGAAAATCCATAGACCTTTGATAAGAAACACAAACAAATCCCTTATGGTTTGATGGTGGCAATAAGCTTGATGAACAGACTGCTGCATTATAACCTGTTCAGAATTTTTTTTACCATTGGCTGAAATTTCTCTTGTTATCCACCATATCAACAATAAAAGCTAGCATGACGTTTCACCGGTTAAATGAGCTGGTCTTTTAACACTGAATCGGTAATGGTATTCCTGTTAATCAAGTTACTAGAAGTATTTTCATACACTGTGCTGATAATGGCTTTCAGTGGCTGGCCCTTCTATTAATTTACACTATAATTCCAACAATAAAATTGTTGTGTTGTATGGTTACCCTGGAACTACAATGAAGTGTTTAAATCATTCTATTACAGAACATGAAAAACACCGTCTATGCAAGAGTACAGATTATATGAATTTGCACTTCAAAGTAAAATGGTTTTATAATGAATATGTGCGAGAACTTCCTGCATACAAGGATACCGTCCCGGAATATTCTCTGTGAGTCTGATTTCTCTATTTTCTAAATGAAATTAATTCATCTGGAGACAAATAAAGGGATAAGAGGATATACATTATAGTTGTTCATTTCTAATAGGGATTTGTGGGTTAGAACTACAAAAACTGGTCCAATGCTGTCTGATTCAGCTGTCTCAATATCAGGAGTTTATTCTATCTTAATGCTGTTAAACAAGCTAATAGTGTTTGTTGAGGCCAGGATAGTTCACTGTGCTTCGTTTTACACTTGTTAGCTTGCATATGCTGTGACCTGTTTGATTTCACTGTTTAGTTGTAACTTTTCACCAGCATCCAATATCAACCAATTAGCTTCCTTAATTTTAGTATAGACAGACTAATTGGAAATTATTTTTAATTAGAGTTAATGCTGATCACTGTTTGTCTTATGAAATTAAGGCATTTCTTTTTTTAGGATAATGTATATATATTTGTATGCCTGTGAAATAAGTTGATAAAATGAAACAAGCTCTGTTATAATAATGTTCCCAGATTGTGAGCATGACAACCTCTTTTTCTCTACCTACTAAAGTGATTCTCTCTCCACTCTGTTTCCTATGTGTATGATACTTGAAAAGTTAATGTAAAGGGACAGTTGTAGTATCTCATTCAGAACATTCTTAATGTTTTAGATGGTTTGAGACTTTTGTTATTCAGTGGCTGGATGAAAATGAAGATGTGTCAATGGAATTTCTTCATGGTGCTCTCGGAAGGGATAAAAAAGATGGAGTAAGTTGAATGTCATTGCATGTCACATTACATTTTTTGGAAGTGGCACATAAATGTGTGTTCTATACAGACAGTATGTAAACCTAAAATCTATTTTTCATTTTCATCTTACTTGGCAGGAGCATTGTTAGTCTGCTGTGTGTGCTGTTGCAGTTGTCTGCTGGCCTACCTTTCAGGTCTGTCAGGAGATGAACTGTAGGGGCTCACATGGCAGGTTGACAATTATACTGCTAATTGCTAGGCATTGGTTTAGCACTGTCATCCTGAAACAGAAGGTGTTGTTACTGGGAGGAACTACAGGTATAAAAAAAAAAAAAAAACTTTACAACAGAATCACAAAAAAATGTGCTTAAGAAAACTGTATACAGTGAGGCATAATGCCAAACATACAAAATAGGTTTATGGTTTACATACACTTTAAATACTTTAAAGAGGAACTGAACTCTCAAACCTTTGTCCAAAAAGGCAGGAAAGGATGAAGAACTAGTCACCGGTATTGCCTGTAGTGTAATGTCTGCAGCTGATCTTTTCCTATTACTGACTTACAATGCCTTGTTCTGCATTGTATCTCTGTATGGAGGCAGTCATTTTGGTTGCAGGGTTTTGCTTCCTGATATTAGAGCCAAGGGAGACAAGTGAGCAGCACAGTAATGACATCACCAAATCTCACTCCAAATCTGGTCTAGCAGTCACAGGGCAGCAGTGCTTTAAATTGAAAGCTGTTAGCAAAGGAGTGTTTAGACATCTTCACATACTAGGTGCAATGGTATGTGCAATGCTATTATTCAGGAGGATTTCCAGAAAAGAGGTCGATTTGTCAGGATACTTTTTAGGTGCAAGTAACATTTTTAGATGTTCACTATAACATAGCAAATCTTCACTTTTTGAGTTTAGTTCCACTTTTATCCTTATTTCTTTCTGTAAGAATAGTTACATGTTTTTAGACAGATTCCAGTTAGAGTCTTGTTATAACATGTCCTGTTCCATAAATAGGTGATTGAATTTGAAAGCAGACAGGTTACCAATCTATAATTCAGTGTTTCTTAGCCATGTCTTGTCATCCATAGTTCCAGGCAACATCTGAACATGCCTTGTTTTCCTGCTCAGTGGTTGATGTCTTCACACAATTAAATCAGAGCTTTGAGATTATCAAGAAATTAGAGTGCCCAAATCCAGAAGCGCTATCTCATTTAATGAGGAGATTTGCAAAGGTAAATTTTAGTGAGATGGTTCATATGTGTATGTGCATTCATTATAGCAAGGGGGTAGAGCATTCAAAACCAGCACAGCTATACAGCTTTGTCTCTTATTTAATTAGACTTAAAATGTATGCATGTAACTGGATGTGTGTTTGTTTGTCTATAATTTATTTTGTATCAGAATGCCTGTGTTTATCTTGTGTCAGTCTGGAAAGAACATAAAAGTGCATGTATCCACAACAATAGGTAAACTAGCACTGAAATATGAATTTGAAAGTTAGACAAATGTTTACATCACCCATATATAACACTGCCACCACGTGATCCAGAATTGCAGCAGTAACACAAACATTTGCCTCGGAATTGTAAGATCTTTTGATAAGTTCTATGTTCTAAGTTTTTTTGATGTATTAATGAATACACAGCTGTATTACTTTGTGTCTTTTATATCTGCCTGCAGTTAAAGTGACACTAAACTTAGGAGTTAAATCTTAAAAATGCTTTCAAGTACCTTAACTATGAACAAAAATGTATCATATTTGTGTATCACTTAGCTGTTCACTCTACTTTTGTTCCAAATGGTCCCTGTGTGTGTTTTAAAGTAGCCTCCGCCCCAAGCTTGCTCCCATTATGGACTATAATTTCAATACAAATTAAGTAACTGAATGTGAGATTGTAATCCATCATGGGAGCAAGCTTGGAGTGGAATGAAGTTATCATTTTCTCAAGCTGGGCACCCCAATTATGTCTTTTTTTCTACATTATGGGCTATTCATTCAGAGAGGGTGACACCATCATTAGCTTCTTTGGTAGCTGTGGCAGCTAGGCAAATCTGTGAACACCAGTGGGGATATCTTACGACTGGAGCCCCCAAGATACTGTAAATCAGCATGTGGTTCCACTTCCTGGCAACTATTTTATTTAAGTCCATTTTTCACTTTTTTTCATATTTGTACCACTAACAATGATAACAAACATAATCCTTTTTGCCACTAAACATACAGTACATGTGAGTTTAGAAGGTGGTTTGCAAATAACAGTCCATTTTGTTGTTCTAAGGCAATTATGTGTCCTTTCATTTTAGACCATCAACAAAGTGCTTCTTCAATATGCTGCAATTATATCCAATGATTTCAGCTCATACTGCGGAAAGGAAAATGTGGTAAGTACTGAGCTGTTTTTATTTACAAAGCTAAAAAGCCATTTAATAATGGCCGATATTTAAATGTACAGAACCCCTGGTGACCCTATCCTTACTGCACTGCTTCTTTAGGCAAAGTGGGATAGAAAACACAGGCTACTATTATAACTAACACTTGTAACAGATAGACATGCTGATGTATATATGGCAGCATATATATAAGGTGCCCTCAACAAAAAATAAATAATTTGGGTGACATTTGGATAGGGGGCACCCATGGTTGCTACTAGTCTCTAGTTAGAAGCAGAGTGGAGAGCAGTCAATGGCTAGGTACTTTATGCTTTACTTTCAGTAGGTGTAAGCTTATACTCCAAAAAGGGAATGTATGCATCTCCCTACTTTTTTGCCATTGAATACAGATGTTTGACAGTTTTAAAAGCTCTCTCAGTTTGTTAGTTGGCTGGACATAGTAAGGTATGGAAGTGGTATTCCTAAATCCCCAACTCTGAAAACCTACATCCCTCAATATTGATGCTGGTCCACTTGCAAATGTCATCTTGCTTGCACTATAATTGGTGCCAGACCAATGGTTACTTCATCAGAATTGGACATGGCTATTGGTATGAGTGCCTAGTGCTCAAAAGTGGAGGACCGAACCAGGATAATGTTATTTTTTTATTGTACCTGGAGCTGAGGTTTAAAATAATAATTTTAGTGGACTTTCAGATTACATTGAAGCATACTGAGAGCCATTGTCTATATACAAATTCCTCCGAAAGTATATGTCTACAAAACTGCTTTAAATTTACAGTAAATGTTAATTAAAGTGACATTAAACCCTCAGATTTTTTAACATAAACCAATACTGTAATGTGTGCCTTACTGTAATCCATGGTGGTTTCCCTTCTCTTTGCTGCTCTTCCTTTTAAATCCTTATCTCTTCTCATGCTGGGGGAGAACTTCCCTTTGTAGCTGAGTGCCTCTTCCTGTAGTGCTGGCTCATGTTGTGAACCTTCACACAGAGACCATGGGGGTTGATTTACTAACCTTATAAACACGCCACGAACAAGTATAGACCTCTGTAGTGTGTTCCCTCCCAGCATGATCTATTGGTGGAATCTAGACACCTTTGTAGTGTGTACACACTCAGCAGGTGTGTTGTGCAAAGCCCTGCATGAATTGCAAGGTGATGTTGTGTAAATTAGCTCTACATTGTGTTGCTTGCGTTGATGAATGCAGGAATGTAAATGCATGAGCTAACCATTTTTGTCTAAACTGTGAAGCAGCATTATATATGCATCATGTGCATGATTTTTCCATATATGGCATTAGTGGAAATATGCTTTTAGAGACTTTTTGGTTGATAAATATGTTTTGCTGTGTAAAAATCACACGCACCTAGTGCGTGCATGTGTTTAGGTTAGTGAATCACCCCCCATGTATCCATTTCAGAGACAAGGCAGTCTGCTACAAAACAGAAGTTCTGTCCAGCATGAGGAGAGATACGTATTTAAAACGAAGAGCAGCAAAGAGAAGGGAAACAACCATGGATTACAGTATTGTTTTATGTTAATAAATCTGAGGGTTTAATGTCCCTTTGATGTTTTAAAGGGTACGTTAAAAAAATCCCCTATAATAGTCTACAGGCAGAAAATAATTTGCACTCTGTAGAACAAAAAAAAGATCTAATGAAATATTTTGCAATGTTCACTGTGGTCTTGGATCCCTGGATGATGCTGCAAGAAAGGTGGACTTCAGGGTACTGTTTCATCAATATTAGTTTTCATTTCAGGCCAAAACCTCTACATCCTTGCAATTGTGCCCAGGGCCAGGGGGGTTTATTTAAATTCCTCTGCTGATCTTTCATACACTGGTTGTGACTGTGTGGTAGCTTCCCTTAGTTTTTTATAGGCTTGACTTCTGAGGAAGGAGACAGGATTGCAAAAATAAGTATGCATCTGAGGGCTGGGAGAAGAGCTAGGTTAGCGCAGGGGATGTTTAAAGTTGCATTTATACTTTAAATGCTGTAAACATGAAATTCATCTTGCAGAGTTTTATTCAGCAGTACTCAGATTTGTCTTTTAGTATTTTGCACCAGTTAGCTTACTGGTTATACAGTTGTGTAAAAAAAATTAAGTACACCCTCTTTGAATTCTATGGTTTCAGATATCAGAAGATATAAAAAAAATAATCTGGTCCTTAGCAGTTCTTAGAATTAGATAAATACAACCTCAGATGAACAACAACACATGTCATAATATACTGTGTCATTCATTATTTTACAAACATAAAGCCAAAATGGAGAAGCCATGTGTGAAAAACTAAGTACACCTTACGATTCCATAGCTTGTAAAAACACCTTTAGCAGCAATAACTTGAAGTATTTGTTTTCTGTATGACTTTATAAGTCTCTAACATAATTGTGGAGCACTTGTGGCCCACTCTTTTTTACATAGTTGCTTCAGTTGATTGAGCTTTGCGGGCAGGCATTTGTTTGTTCAAAGCTCTCTTAAGATCCCGTCACAGCATTTCAATCGGGTTGAGGTCCGGACTTTGACTAGGCCATTGCAACACCTTGATTCTTTTCTTTTTCAGCCATACTGTTGCAGATTTGATGGTGTGCTTGTGATCATTGTCCTCTTACATGACCCAATTTCATCCAAGTTTTAGCTATTGGACAAATGGCCTCACATTTGACTCTAGAATACTTTGGCATACAGAGGAGTTCATGATTAACTCAATTACTGCAAGGCGCTCAGGTCCTATGGCTGCAAAATAAGCCCAAATCATCACTCCTCCACCACCATGCTTGACAGTTCGTTTGGGGTGTTTGCTCTAATATACTGTGTTTGGTTTGTGCCAAACGTGGCATTGTGCATTATGACCAAACATGTCCACTTCAGATGTAGGAATTGAAGTGCCACATTAATTAAAATTATCCAGCTACACCTTTTATTCCACTAGAATCAGGGGATAATTGAGTGATATAGTTTTTTGGTGGCTGCCAAACCAGCTGCTGACAAGCTAGAAGCTTTCCCATCACAGCATAATACAAATTTCAAGATGCAAAGATTGTAGTCCACATACATGATTTCTCTCACTGAGCCCTGATGAAGGGGGTGTTTTTGGACCCCCAAAATGTGTTGACTATTCTACTCAATTGTCCCCTGACCCTCGTGGAATAAAGTTGTACCTGGACTATTTTATTTGGTGTGGTGCTTCAATTCCTACATCTACTATGTTCACTGTTAAGCCAAGATAATGACCCTTAGGCCTGTGACAGCTGCCTATCTATTAGCCAGATTACACATTTGCATCACTTAATCACTATTGGATTATAAAAAACAGAATGATCACATAGATTTAGCACTCTCTATCCACTTCTAAACATCTCCACTTTGGTCTCGTCTGTCGAAAGGACATTGTTCCAGACGTTGTGCGGTTTGTCCAGATGTAAATTTGCACACCTGTCAGGCTGCCATGTTCTTTTTGAGAGAAGAGACTTTCTCTTGGCAACCTTCCCAAACAAACTGTACTTGTTTAGTCTTTGTGTAACTATACTGTCATGAACATTAACATTTATCATGCTAACTGAGGCCTGTAGAGTCTGAGATGTAACTTCTGGTTGTTTTTTTTTGCAACTTTGTTGACCATTGCACAGTCTGAGCTTGGGGTGAATTTTCTGGGACGTCTACTCCTGGGAAAATTGGCAATTGTCTTGAATTTTTTTCCACTTGTGAATAATCTTTCCCACTGTAGAATTATGGACTTTAAATTGTTTGGAAATTGTCATATAACCCTTCCCAGATTGATGGGCAGCAACAGTTGCTTCTATAAGATAATGGCTGATGTCTTGGCTCCTGGGCATTGTGTTAACACTCTCCTGAAAGCTTCAGACCAGCAAACTGCTAAAACGTCAGAGGTGGTCACACTTGCTGATGATTATTTTATTAGCAGCACCTGGCTGCTACTTAGCCTCTTATTTTCTATGGAAGCAGTAAGGGTATACTTATTTTTTCACACATTACTTTTTTTCTTTCTATTTGTAAAATAAATAATCACATTGTGTAATATGCCATATGTAGTTGTTCATCTGAGGTTGTATTTACCTAAGTTTTAAGACCTGCAAATACTTTATCATGTCCTGATACTTAAAGCCATAGAATTTAAAGAGGGTGTACTTTCTTTTTCACATGACTGTATCTTGACATGTAAGTATTTAATGGTGCTCTCCATATTTTAAGTCTCTGGGGTTCAGGAAAATCCTTAGCAGCCCTTCACACATTTTTTTAAATTTGACCATTGAATTTACCCAAGTCCTATGCTGTAAAATGTCCAAGCATGCCCTTAGGGATTCTGATTGAGGGAGGATCTCAGTAGTGGAGTTAGATCTTTCATTTTGCAATGAGTAGGCCAGAGGTGGTAAATCTGAATAGTAGTTTCATTGTCTGGCTATGTAGAATGGCAGAGTTGTTTGAATTACAGTGGTAGAAAAGAACTAAGGCCAGTGTGGATGGGTTTTTATTTGCTTCAGTATCAAGCTGCTTCTCTTCTCAAACAATTGGAGGTATAGGAATATAAAAGCAGGTAAAGCAGGTTAACTACAGGTCAACTACAATTCAAATGCAGGTCAACAGCACTTGCACAGAAATTGAATGATCTCAGAGGCATCTCAAACAGATGTCAAAAGTGCACTGCATTAGCCCATTGAAGCCTGTTGACACAGGACCTTTGACTTATAATACTGTACACTTGCATATATTTCATGTTTATATTCAGCCTTTTAGCAGGAATTACGTTTTAATAACATTAATGGACTACATTAGGCAGTGTAATTGAAAGAAAAAAAAGCTTGCGACTGTTTAAAAAACCCCATACTGCAGCATCTCCCTTTCTCTCCAGAACAGCTGCAGGTAAATTGCTCCTCTTCAATAACTGTAATGGTAGCACTTTAGCCTTAGCTTCTATTTTTTTTATTCTGTTTACAATAGGAAAGCCTGCAATTGTGAGACCATGGTTTTACTTAGCAATGACAGCATCGTTGTAAAGTATTTTGCAGTAAGGGTGCTCTAAAGGGCAGTAAAATTACCTGTCTCATGAATTGCAAAGCTCTATGAGTAAGTGGACATTAGAACACTTGTCACTTAACCTACCTCTGGGATTCCTATTTGCTCATTAGTATGATTGATCATGCAGGTCCCCCAGATATCTAATCTTTATTAAAGCTCCAAAGGGAATTAAACTTGTCAGAGTGGTGGAGCACAATAAAACATGGGAATGACAGTTCATCCTGTGTCGCTAATAACCAATGCAGAATTTACCAATTTACACTTAGAGTTACCTCCACAGTTGGATCCCTCCCCTCTTAATGCACATGTAGAGACTCATTAAAATGTACTACATGTAAATGTATTCACCAATTAGCCTTTCTAGCTTCACAGAGTTGGACATGTCTAACTGCATGTAGATCATATAATTGATAAGCAAAACCCAAAATGTATGCTTTAGTTAATTTAGCTCTTACAGAAAAGCAGAGTATACAAAATTACATATCTTAGAATAATAACAATGAACATAAATGATGTCAGTTTCACACCTAAAAGTACTTTAAAGTATATTTCCACTTTTGCAGACAAATTTGAGAAAACCTCCACTATATGTTTGTTATGTATTCCAATTCACACAGCATACCTAAAAATATATATATTTTTTATATTTCTTAGTTTTAGATGTTTGGTTGCAGCAGGCAACATGGCTGAATCCAAGTTTTTCTGACTACTTTCATAGTGATTATAGAAAGACTTAGGACAGAACTGTGTGAATTGTCTTTATAGAAAGACTTAGGACAGAACTGTGTGAATTGTGTTTCTCTCATTAACATACAATGCAGAAGCCAGGCTTTCAATCCATTAACCCTTTGTTAGGACAGGTAGTGTTCAAATCTACTTTACAAATTATAATGAACACAAATCCCTCATAGCCCCCCTAACATTACAAAGAAGGAGACGTCACATAGTATTTTAACCCTTAAGAAGCCAAATAGAAACCCTAAATCAATTTAACCCCTTCATGACTGAGCTAGTTTTCAGGTTCTGTTCATAAATGACTGACACATTTTTTACATTTTTGCTGTGTGATTTCACTTCCACAGCAGTAATATACTTTCTTACGAAATGTACCCACACATATTATATATAGTTTTTTAGAGGACAGTGTATCTTTTGAGTGAAATGTATCTAAACATCGGGCTCTCGAGCTGTCAAAACAAATAGCAGAGAGGTGAGGTGAGTCACTGCTGCCTCTCTGCTATTTTGAGCTGTCAAATACGGGATCGCAAATTGCGGTCCTCTATTTGCATGTAACGGCTTCATTCTTTCATTACTGAAAGGAAGAAGCTTTTACAAAAAGCTTAATTATTTCATTAATTAATGCCTCAATACTGAGACATTAATGAATGACTGTTAAATGCTGAGAATCAGCAAATACCGGCATTACAAAGCCTGATATAACTCGTCACGTACAGTGTACGTGGCCAGTCATATAGGCACAAAGTGACAAGACGTACACTGTACGTCTCCCGTCACGAAGGGGTTAAACTGCAAGAAGCATTTTTTTTTAAGCTTATGCTATGCGAATGGTAACATGTTCCAAATATAAAATAGTTGTTATCCCAACTGGGCTGCAAAAGTAGAAATGCATTATACTACACCTTTTCACTAAATCCTTAAATTCAGCTCAAAATGTCTAACAAATATCATCCCTGTGTTTAAATTGTTTCAAATCCTTGACATGAATAGCTGACATAGGTACAAAGATTGGCAAACTTCTTAAATCACTAATTATTTTCTCCCATTTTCTAGTTTGTGATGGAAATATCTAGCCCAGATTCACATTTGTTCCCACTATGGCTTTTTTTATTTTTATATAGAAAATCAGAAAGTTGAGTTTTCACATAAACCTCACCTTTGTCTTACACATCTAAAAAGGGGTTTATGTGAAAATGTTAGAGATATGTTAGATATTGCTCATAAAATTGCTAAATTAGTTTTTTATTGCTAATTTATTGGGGGTGGACTTTGAGCATGTTAAATCTGAGAGTAAAATCATTTTTTTTATGCAGCACCCCTCTGACGCCTAGGAGCATGTGGGGGACTTCAGAGGCTGGGTGGGCTGACAATTCAACTCAGAGAAGAGTCTTTAGCCAGTTGTAGAATGTGAATGTAAAATTGGGCTTCATCACTTTAAGGATTTTTTAAAGGTTTTATCCCATAATCAACTCAATGGGAGAGAGGACAAAGGGCTTCAGACATCTAGGACAGTACAGAACTCCAGACTCACTGACCCCTTCCCAGCTTCAGAGTGCAGAAGACCTTTAACCTGATTGCAGTAACACTGTGTATTCTAGAATATTTGCTGGTCAGTATACATGGCATAGAATTTGCTTGGCGAAACAGCAAACTTCCTGCAAGGTTCTAGCCCATCCTGATTTCTTATGCACATTAAGCAGACAAAGTTTCTCCCTGGTTCTCCATTCCAGGAACAAATTCAGACCCTGACTAAGTCCATGACTGACCACCTGCAGGCTGCAGGCCTGGTCAGACAGCACACACTTCATGCACTCTCCCCTGGGCCCCGAGCTCACAAGATCAACTCTGAATATTTATTCCCTCCCCCAACATGCACCACTGGTCATGGACCTCCTAGTGATTGGCTGGGGAATAACAAATATTCAAAACAGCACATTATTGGATGCTCTGCTCTGTGGCAAGATCTCACCCAGCAGGACTCAGATGCAAATAATAATATAGTGCTTAGGAGAAGTCAAATAAGCACACACTATCAAATTAACTAGAATGGATACAGTGCAGCAGAACTAAATTTAAGGAGTCACCCTGCTTGGGGCAAGGTGGCTACAATTATTTGGAACAGCATCATTGGTATAGCACCAGTAGAGATTCAACAAAGTAAACATTTTTAAGGCTGCAGCATGGTGGAATCATAGCATTGTCAAAGGAGAGGGCCACTAAAAATTCAGTTGTTTTCTCTGTCTGTCATACCTGTAGGTAAGGCATTTAGATGTATTCCATCTAAGTGAGCACTTACAGTCAGTCTGCCTTATTATAATAAATGTGTTTATCCCTGCTTTAGCATTTAATTTAGTAAAAGCGCATATGCAAACTATTATGCAAATTGTAAATTAATTTTAAATATTCCTTCAGAGTATTCAAGGTCACAGACAGGGGAACAATTCACTTTGTTCGTGTACCTCTACTCTATAGTTAAAAATTAAGCTTTCATCCCGACTTACAATTACAACAGCTCATAACTGTAGAGAATGAATACAGAAGGGACCCCCATTGTGTTAAGTTGCAAGTAGGTGTCTTATACTATTCAGTACCAATTCTTCTGCCCTGTGCTTGTTAAGAAAAATGAAAAAAGTGCTAAAGGCATGTGACATACCAACATACCAAGTTGACAGTGCAACATTTTTTCAAGTCAAGCTGCAGGTGAGAAGAAGTTGTTTAAATGGGTGAAGATCCACTTTAAGCTCATGCATATGTTCACATGGAAAAACAAGCACTAATGATCATAGTAAACACACAATGATGTGTATCCATCCCATGAGTAGCCTTGATATCTGATGCAACTGCAGCTATCCACGCCAACCAAAAATATAAAATTAGATAAATTGTTTATGTGTAATTGATGGATATAATTTCAGGCCTCTATTCTGATGAACAACATTCAACAACTGAGAGTCCAACTGGAAAAGATGTTTGAGAATATGGGTGGGAAGGAGGTAAGATCCTTGATATTTAATATATGCTTTACAAGAACATTTAAAGATCATTAGCAGTATACCTATTCAATAATTAATTTACATCAGTATTTGATCTTATTAAACAGTAGTATTAAACCTTATTGCAATATGTTAAGCAAAAAACAAAGCATGAATTTAGTATTCGGTGCACTGAATGCTAATGATCTGTAAAATAAAAAAAGGTAACATTCTATGTTTTATGTTATAGTCACCAGTCCATAATTTCCAGCTATTACTGTATCGGTATCAGTGTTGATGGTATTGTGTTTTGTGCTTTGTCTGTAATGTGTCATGTCTTTGTCCAATGCTTTTTAACCTGCAATCAACTGATCAGAAGAAAGAAGGAGCAATAGCTTTTTACAAGGTTTGTGAAAGCTAGCATGCGTTGGTATTTCAAACCATATGTTACAGGCTGCATCATAGTGCCAGCCTGACAGGCTATTGTGACTGTGCCAGCCTAACAGAGGAACACAAATGTTGTATTGAGAATTCAGTGGGAGATAATATAAACATTTTACATTGTGGCATCTGTTATAGCAATTTCTAAGTAACAAAAACAAGACACATGGAGAATCCTAGTTTGACCTCTGGGTGCAGATGTCTTTTTGCTGCAAAATTTAATGTTCTGTGTCTTTTGCCCATTTTATACAAAGGAATTAAAATTATGCAAGCCAACTGTAAATTTACACACCTATATTGCTGATCTTCCACTGCCAGCTATTAATAAAAAATGTTAGGCAGTATACTGTGGAAGAAACAAGTGCACTAGTCAAATTCCCACTGTCAGTGACACTGGAATCAATGCACCTTTTACTTTAGTAAAACATTATATCAACTATATACATGGTAAGGGCATGATTTCAGTAGTATAATTGTTACTGGTTCCATCTTGTAAATATTGTGGTGAGCCATGTGGGAGTTTTAAGAGATTGTCCCTTTTAATATGATCAATCCAGGTATTTTAATCATATTCCCCAAACCCCTGGTATTCCTTTTAATATAAACCCCTAGAGCAGTCAACATACACACATTAATGAAGATGTGATAATCTTCATCCATGTAAGGCAAACTGTAATTTGAGCTCAGGCTCCCTGCAGACTTCTGGGAGATATAGTGAGCTAATTACAAAAAAGGGGTTGGGATATTGGGGAATCCTAATTATAAATGGTAGCCTTAGTTGCAAATATTAGGGTTTTTAATTTTTTGGAAAATGCAGAAAATCATAGCTGGCTGTAGAATAAATGAAAATGATAATTTATAAGAATACAAAAATGTATTGCTTAGCAATTATATTTCTCATTTAAATATTTAATAAAACTTGAGTTTTCCTCTAAAGGTGCCTGTTAAATAACTTTAAAGACATTGGATCACCTCTAGGCATTTCAAGGCTTAGGAAAAAGGATATTCAATGGCTGCAACAGAAAAGGTTGGGGGAAACCCCACTTCAATTCCAAATCCAATTCTGTCAGACCTGTTCACTAAAACAATTTAAATGGTAATATCAGAGAAATTGGGATTTTTAATGTTTAAAGTGCAATAACTTATGGAAAGTAAGCAATAATTTCTTTGTGTACACATAGATTTTACTAAAGACAAGTAGGCTGTTCCCTATGCAAGCACCATATCCCCAAACCCATCAATTCAATTGTTTTTGCCTTACTCAATAGACAGTCATTTTTCATAAAGTGACTCTCTCGCTGATTTAAAATAAAGAAAACAGACCTTACAAAAGATGACTGGTAACACTTGTTTGTCTTGCCCCCCATTCCTGGAACCCTTGCTTTCTTGTAGAGCAAATCTACTAACATAATCTTCAACATCAACATCCAACACATTTCAGGATAGTAGTCAGTCTTTGCAACATTGTGAGGATTCCAGGAATGAGAGGTGGGAGAGTTAGGTATTAACAGCTTTCTTTTGCATAACCAATTTGTTTAATTTTGATCAAGTTAACAGAGTTGTTTTAAGTGCTAATTAATTCGTCTTGTGGTCTTGACATCAGTGGTAGAAATTCTGAATGCCTGTTTAAGGTTACTGCAGTGAAGAATTAGCTCTGAAATAGACTCTGTCAGTTAAAAAAAAATGCTGCAGGTATAACATTCAGGCACCTAGAGTTGCTTGGAAATCCCTGGAGCAGCCTCCAAAAACCCTACAGTTATGGCACATTAGCTCTGAATTATGCTGATGATAACCCAACTCTTCCACACATGTCAGAACTTGCCTGGCAATCAAATGTAGATGCAGGCTTTTGAATCTTGCTGCTGGTTTGCGCTTGCACCTCTAGATGCTGCTAGACACCTCCACTACATACCTGCAATTTTTTTTTTCCCTCACACCATCTCTAGTTGACCAATTCCATTTGGTGGCAGGAAAAAAGTATTCAACATCTGTTGCTAATTTTTAGTTTAGGGAAGCAGGTTAGGTGCTATATGTAACAGTAACTGAATATAGATACTCTCTATCTGATTTTCTCTAAGAGAAAATTAAAGGAGAATTACAGGGAGGATGAAATACTCATCCTCATAATTGGAGCTGACGTGCGACACTGCAGATGTCACACGTCAGCTCTATTTATCGAGAACTGAGTGATCACAAATGGCTGATCCCTCAGTTCCCAAACTTCTCCCTGCAGAGAGTGGTGACTGTCTGTCACCGGTCCCCATAGAGATTCCTCTCATTTACTCCAGGGTTTACTAGAGGAATGAACAGGGAGGGGGTGAGCACAGCTGGCTCTGCCCCTAGAGAGGCAAGCCAGCTGTTAATCAGGTAGGGGGGTGGATCCCAGCAATAGCACACTATATACTGTGTTTTGGGTCACAGGAGGACACAGTAAATGTCCTCCTGTGACCCCAAAGAGAACTATTGCCAAAAAAAGGTTGGGATATAGTCCTCTTTTAAGATCTCTTTACAATGTATTGTTGAACTAGGTTTTGCCCTTTGCACTGCAGTATTGAAAGGCCCATGTGTCTTGATTATTTCATCCATGCATATAAATGGAAAAAATAAGCTAAACTAGCCAGATTCAAAACTTAACACTGTGTTCCCCTAATTATGGAAAATGTCAAGCAACTTAGGCAAAGCCATGTCACTATATGCTCCTACACGCTGGCTATGCATGATGAGGAATGGTTCTCTGAGTCTGACTAAATGGTGCTAAGCATTGGCATGTAAACCTCACATGACAGCTTACTACTGCTTAGTCAGCTGGTGCCACTGTATGCTTTCAAACTGGTGCTTTTTTATTTATTTTACTTTTTATTCCAGCAAGTATATTTGATCCTATTTCCAGAAACAGATCAGAAGATCAGTGTGGGCTGAAGAGACATATGGGTTGATTTACTAACCTAAACACACACACACACCAGGTGTGTGTGATTTTCACACAGCAAAACGTATTTATCAACCAAAAAGTCTCTAAAAGCATATTTCCACTAATGCCATATATGGAAAAATCATGCACATGATGCATATATAATGCTGCTTCACAGTTTAGACAAAAATGGTTAGCTCATGCATTTACATTCCTGCATTCATCAACGCAAGCAACATAACATAGAGCTAATTTACACCACATTACCTTGCAATTCATTGCAGGGCTTTGAACAACACACCTGCTGGGTGTGTACACACTACAAAGGTGTTTCGATTCCTCCCATTGATCATGCTGGGAGGGAACACACTACAGAGGTGTATACACGTTCGTGGTGTGTTTAAAAGGTTAGTAAATCAACCCCATAATGTTACTATATTTTATTTAAATTGTGTTTTTAATACAAAATTAAACTGCCTAAGGAAACGTTGTTGGTGAAGTCTTATTCGCACAGCAGTTACATTTCAGCTCAGTTACTGATTCCTCAATAACAAGATAAAATCAGATACCATATGTAGTCTGCGTTTATTTTATTGGTTTGCATGATGTTAGGGAAACCAAATAGATGTTTTATGCTTGGATTACACTAAAGCCCTGTGCCCTGAGCCACTTTCTTCTGGAAAGAGCACTGTATAACCGGTCTGTTCTGCCAGTAAAGTGGCTAATAATTTCTACTGTTCTTTTTTTGGTTTTCGATAATTGCAGACAGCTTTAGAAGATACAATGGATTTGGTACAAGATGTTCTATCTAAACCAGTGCCAAGTTCTGCCTAGAATTTTTGAGGCAGGTCTTACACTGGCTAATAAATATAATTAATGTTTCATTATATCATTATATGGATACTGAAGAAGCAAAGTTAAGAGGTAATCAGCAGGGGAGGGCTGGAGAAGGGGCCAAGTTTCTTTGGGCTGTATTACATTCTGCAAATGAACACTTCTATCTGAGTGCTACACAGCCCACTCACTATACATACTGCCCATGGCATCGGTCTGTTTTTTGGAAGCCTACTTTATATGAACATCAGTATATTTGGATTAATCCCTGGATACAATTCAGGGGAAAAACAGGCCCCTAACCTATACAATTCCAAACTGAAGTGCAAAAAGCTACCAGAATATAACAAAGTGCCAGTCATTTTAAGATTAGTCTTTACTAAAAAAAATCAAAAAATCTCACTGTTAGAATAAATAGCAAAAGTAAAAACTAAGACTGTATTCTGGGAGAGAAAAACTCTATACTGGTCAATATTATCCAGCCCTCCACTGGTGAACGCAGTTACCAATTTGATAGCATTTCTTTGTACCTTAAAATTATCTTAAGAATTCATCTTTTAATGTCTACCTGCACAGCAAACGTATACTTTCTAAAACTGCCTGCATTCTTTCCAATTATATTAATAAAACAGGTATTTATTAATATATGAACAAAAAGAACATACAATGTTGCTTTTTGTTGCAAAGTGTATATTTCAGAAAAAATGCACAATTAGCATGAAAACCTTAAGCCCATGACACCTGAAATGTTAGCTTGGATTCTTAGGGATTGTAAAGATGCAGCAGGCAGAAATATATTGCTGAGCTTTTTATACTGAATAAATGGCACAGTTTG